GGGAAAAGAGAGAGAGAGAGTAGACAGCAAAAGGACACAGCTGAGTTTGAGGGCAAATAGTGCCTTTCTTCTACAAAAATGGGAATGTGATGTTAGGGGGTATATTATTCATGTCTGTGACTCCCCAAGATATGTTTTATGTAAATCTTCCAACCTTTAGTACACTGGAAAGGGCTTTGTGGGTGCAGCAGGTTTTAGATGTATGTGTGGAGTCTGGTAAACCCACTAAAAGTGCACTGCTGCCCCATTCAGCAAATGAAAGCACTAAAACAGTATTATGTTTTTAGTAGGGCTGCACGATAAATCGCATGCGATATTTAACGCGAATCTTGTCAGATGCCTTAAAATAAGTTTGTGTAAAAGTGTAAAAATTTAAGTAAAAATGTTTAAATTACTATATGTCATTTTAGGTTTTAGAACCATAATTTTAACTGAAATTCAATTTATACATTTATTTACACTACACTTAAAAAGTAAGTGTTTTTTTATTACAAGAATTAACACTTTTATTTAGCAAAGATCCATTAAATTAATCAAGAGTGACAGTAAAAACATTCATAAAGTTACAAAAGATTTCTATTTAAAGGCAGAGTAAGTGATTTCTGGTAGCCAATGTTGATATTTGAAATCACCAAAACAACATGGAGCAGCATTAACTACAAAGAACCGTTGTTCACCGACAAGCTGCGAAAAACCACAATCATATTTAGCGCATGTTTTGCGCAGCTTGTCGTGAACAACGGCTCTGTGTACTTAATGCTGCTCAATGTGAAAGCCCGCAGGTGATGGAGATTTACCGCTGATTACAGAATGGCTTTACTGACAAGATGCGCGTTAAATATCGCATGCGATTTATCGTGCAGCCCTAGTTTTTAGCATTATGTATAATGCTCTGTAAAAAGGCTATTAGCTTTTATCCAGCCTACAAGGTACTAAGAAGAACAATGAAGCAGCATGAATAAATTATGCTGTTAATGCTTTGCTGCTTGCTGACTTTATTTTTACTGTTATGTTGTTGTTGTTGTGCAGTGATCTTAAACCCATCTCATTACATAATAATGTTTGTTGATTGTCACCATTACACATTGTTATACTGAGGATAATTATTAAATATTAAAAACCATTCGGCCCGAATCAGTTTTCTAAAGTGTTTTTGAAAAATCACATACCCTGCCTTTAAAATAAATGCTGTTGTTCTGACTTTTATATTCAAAGAATCCTGAAAAAAAAAAGATGTATCATGGTTTCCACAAAAATATTAATGCTTTCAAATGTAGTGATAAAAACGGTAGAGGTAAAGAAATGGCAGTTATATGTATTTACAATAAATCAAATACATAATTTTAAGGATGCAAAACCGCAAAGGTTTTGGCTAAACATTTTTTTATAATAAATGAACAAAATCCAAAAAGTACTAATCTTCCCTGTTCTATCCTCTGTGTCACACCTGACTGATGAGCTTCTGGTTCATGTAGAGGTGACTGATTTGAAAAGGATTTGAAATGTAATTTTTTGTGAAACATGATTCTTCAAAAGTTATGGGCTCTACAGCATTAAGAGTAATATGTATTCATAGACCGTGTCTTAACATCTTCAATTATAAAATCAAAAGGAGCAGTCCTGCAGGTTATTCTATAATAAAAAAATAGAAGTCTCAGGACCAGACATCAAGCAGGAAATCAATTATAATCAGCAGCATGGCGAAATATTACAGTGATGTTAATGCTCTTATTTTCCAGTTCAGCGCAGGACCGTGTGACACGCAAATCACAGCTATACATCCACAGAGATAAACAAGCACTGTCACGGTGCTAATCAAAGTGCTAATAGTCAGAAAATGAAAAACCATAAAAGATCGAGGTAGAGTTGAAAGACGTGTCCTGTATTTCATTATTACATGATTAAGTATAAGAGAAAGCGTAAGCCCGTAGTGACACAAGGACAAGAGATTTCGCTCGGCTGTGTTTGGAGATATGAAAAGCACACGTGTCAAGGCTGGATAATAGGCAGGATAATTACATATTATGAACACAACAGGGCAATTCAATTGTGAAATACGTATTTTGTAGATAATGGTCAACACAGAAACACAATAATCTCTTTACATCCTTTAGGGCATGATCTCATATATTTAGGTTTTGAAATGTAAAGTAACACACATACAATTTTTGCATTTGAATTGACAATGCAACACCAACCTATAGAGAGCTTCTGATGTCTAACTAATTTTAGATGCACAAATCTTCAAGATAAAAAAACATTGAATTTCATGAAGAAAATTGAAACTACGCAATCAATTGATTGATTTAATTGCATTTATAAAAACTGATATTATTTAAATGTTTAACACCCTTAAATGTTTCGCACTAAAAGCATCAAATTGAAACTTCTTCATTTTGTTCTGACTTGATGATAATACAATTTTTTCATATAAAAATTTCAAATGACTTCATTTTATTACAAATCCTGGAATTAATTTATAAATAAATTGGTCATTAAAAAGTCTCACTCAGATAAAGTTTTAGGGATGCACCGATCCGATATTCATATCGGGTATCGGCTCCGATAGTGCCATTTTTCTCGGATCAGGTATCGGTCAGCGAGGGCCGATCCAAATTAGAGATTTTTTTTTTTTTTTTTCGATTGTGCGAATTATTTTTTCAACCAGCATAACAAAAAATGTTTCTGTAGACAATCACCTATTGCACCTTTAATGTATCCTTGCTGAATAAAAGTATTAATTAAAAGAAATCTTATACTGATCCCAAACTTTTGAAAAGTAGAGTATGCAAATATTTATTTTTGGGAATTGCTAATAGTATATATTGTATTGTAATACTTGACCATTACTTACTTACTTACACACACACACACACACACACAAACTAGATCTCTCTGCTTGCCACACACATACAATATAGACATGAATCATGGAAAAGGGGCAAAACAGCAATATACCTAGTACGGTTATATTAATAATAATCAACAGGTGACTAAGTCTGCAGTACAGAAACTATTTAGACATTAAACAAACCAGCAAATTCTCAGCTGCTCTGCCGTGGATTTAAAATGCTGAGTTTGCTTTTATCCATGAGCCCTTGAGCAGTACATCAGCAGTTTGTTATAATGATAAAGATCCTGAAGGGCTTTAAAAGGCCAAATGTATAATACATAATCTTTCCATAAAAGAGGTAGTTGGAGAATCAATGCTTGTATAGGTTGCATGTCAAAGAGCAAAGTAAAATCAATACTGGTTTATAATTTAATAGTAAATTAAAATACCTGTATTTGGCAGCCGGATTATTGTGTGTTTGAGAGCAAGAGGAAAGGAGTGCGAGAAAGTGCGCGAGTAAGCAGAATTTCTATTTTATTTATAGTCATAACACACATTCTCGTTCTCACCCACTGTGACAATCCATCAATGCAAGAACTAACTGTTGGGGGTCTGAACACAAAAACCAGCCCACTTTTTTAAGATCCAGAGACTTCTGTAATATCTACCCTGCGCATCAGGAGGACATGATGAAAGGACCATCAGCTACAATAACATTAAACATCGATGTGTTTCATGTGCTTCACACACACACACACACACACATCACTACCTCCACTCCATTAAGTTCACACACACACACACTTCACTGAAGCCTGATTGTGCATTATCCAGACAGGACCTATTTTTAGCGATTGCCTCTTTCATTCCCTTTCCTCCCTGGACTCACCTGCAGCACACTGCTCCTCATCTGCTCCATTTTCACAGTCCTGTTCACCATCGCAGCGCCATGACAATGACACGCATTTGCTCATCAAGCCGCCACAGTCAAACTTCTCTGGTGGACACGTCTGTCGACCTATGAGTGAAAGCAACACAGAGAGATGTCTGAGAAATAACATATCAACTAATGCTAAAAGGCGTATTCCGGGATGCTGATTGGTCAATATAGTGTTCCAACCTTTGAAATACCCAACACAATGATGAATGATGGACACAAGATGATGTCAATATCATCTGTACATACAATACTATTAAAAGGTTTGGGGTGTGTAGAATTTTTAAAATGTTTTTGGAAAGAACTACTGATCAAAAATACAGTAAAAACATGAATATTGTGAAATATTATAGTTTAAAGTAACAAAATGTATTTCTGTGATGTTAAAGCAAAATTTTCTGTAGCCTTTACTGCAGTCTTCAGAGTCACATGACCCTTCAGGAATCATTTGGTGCTCAAGAAAAATTTCTTATCAATAATGTTGAAACCGTGCTGATTAATATATTTGTGGAAACCGTGATACATTTTTCAGGATTCTTTGGTGAATAGAAAGTTATTAGAAAACTACAATAACTAAACAAATATATTATAAAATGCTGTAGTTAGAAAACATTGAGGGTTTATTTAAAATATATTTTTTGTAATACTGTAAATTTCTTTATTGTCACATTTGATCAATTTAACACATCTTGAATAAAAAGTCATTTCTTTCTTTCAATAAAAAAAAAATAAAATAAAATAAAATAAGTGACTAAATAAATGATAACATTTTTGTAATTTGTAATTATCAATGTAAAACTTTTACACAAATATATGTGTTTGAGAGCAAGAGGAAAGGAGTGCGAGAAAGTGCGCGAGTAAGCATAATTTCTATTTTATTTATAGTCATAACACACATTCTCGTTCTCACCCACTGTTACAATCCATCAATGCAAGAACTAACTGTTGGGGGTCTGAACACAAAAACCAGCCCACTTTTTTAAGATCCAGAGACTTCTGTAATATCTACCCTGCGCATCAGGAGGACATGATGAAAGGACCATCAGCTACAATAACATTAAACATCGATGTGTTTCATGTGCTTCACACACACACACACACACACATCACTACCTCCACTCCATTAAGTTCACACACACACACACTTCACTGAAGCCTGATTGTGCATTATCCAGACAGGACCTATTTTTAGCGATTGCCTCTTTCATTCCCTTTCCTCCCTGGACTCACCTGCAGCACACTGCTCCTCATCTGCTCCATTTTCACAGTCCTGTTCACCATCGCAGCGCCATGACAATGACACGCATTTGCTCATCAAGCCGCCACAGTCAAACTTCTCTGGTGGACACGTCTGTCGACCTATGAGTGAAAGCAACACAGAGAGATGTCTGAGAAATAACATATCAACTAATGCTAAAAGGCGTATTCCGGGATGCTGATTGGTCAATATAGTGTTCCAACCTTTGAAATACCCAACACAATGATGAATGATGGACACAAGATGATGTCAATATCATCTGTACATACAATACTATTAAAAGGTTTGGGGTGTGTAGAATTTTTAAAATGTTTTTGGAAAGAACTACTGATCAAAAATACAGTAAAAACATGAATATTGTGAAATATTATAGTTTAAAGTAACAAAATGTATTTCTGTGATGTTAAAGCAAAATTTTCTGTAGCCTTTACTGCAGTCTTCAGAGTCACATGACCCTTCAGGAATCATTTGGTGCTCAAGAAAAATTTCTTATCAATAATGTTGAAACCGTGCTGATTAATATATTTGTGGAAACCGTGATACATTTTTCAGGATTCTTTGGTGAATAGAAAGTTATTAGAAAACTACAATAACTAAACAAATATATTATAAAATGCTGTAGTTAGAAAACATTGAGGGTTTATTTAAAATATATTTTTTGTAATACTGTAAATTTCTTTATTGTCACATTTGATCAATTTAACACATCTTGAATAAAAAGTCATTTCTTTCTTTCAATAAAAAAAAAATAAAATAAAATAAAATAAGTGACTAAATAAATGATAACATTTTTGTAATTTGTAATTATCAATGTAAAACTTTTACACAAATATATATAAAAAAAAAGTACCACCAATGCCATATTTAAATAAACCATATGAAAAAACGTAAACATTTACAATAATACAATCAATTATAATAACAAGAATTTATTAATCTTTTTTTTTTGTAAAATTGTTGGACTATTCACTTAAAGCTGCAGTCCGTAACTTTCTTTGGTTAAAAATGATCCAAAATCAATAAAATGTTATAAATGTCATGTGATGTACAATGAAGAAAACAATGAGTTTTCATAAATAAATACAGATAAAAAAATATGCAAAACTATTTAGTTTAGTAACATTTTCATCTTCTTTTCTTGCTATAAAATGATGCTTTCTACATGGAGTTTCTTTTTTCTTGACAAGCCCCATCACACAAACACACATTCAGTAAGACATCTCCGCTAGCCTTATTGTTAACCAAAACCGAAGCCCATTGAAACATTTTCAAGTTTCATCCCAGATCACACAGCATTCCCAAGACAGCTCCATAAATTATACATCTCTAAATGTCTGGGAACCCAACTACAAATCAATAGCAGCCAGACTGATTTCTCTCACTCCCATTCTTCAGTCTTTTGAGTAATTTTCAGTGTATAAAAGAAGATTTATGAAGACCCTTCTCACCTTCTCTGACATCTCCAATCTGTGTCTGCAGCCCATTGTTGCCTGAACCCTATCTATAATCATATGAGTGAATGCCATGTCTCTTACTGGATTCCACTATTGTACGGCCTTCTCTGAAGAAATGGGAAAAAGACAGCTGTGAATCTCATTTGAGATATCTCTTCATCAGCATACAGCCATTGTGGCTCTGCAAATTGAGGCCTAGTCCACATCTGTGGAAGCCATATTGGATCTGAGACTGTCAGAGGGGAAAAAAAAGTCCTATTTAAGGCCAGAGCTTAACCCAACACCGCAAGGCTTGTTGGTGTGTGACTAGGGAAATGTATGTGACAGAGTGGGTTTGTTTGAACAGTGTTTTTGTGTGAGCGTGCGTTTCTGGCTTTGTCAGCATGTGTCTGAATAAACTGAATGACCCATTCTAACTGTCTGGCTGACTGCTAGAGATAGCACAGCCTCATGGGAAACACAGTCTGTCTTATCTCCTCGCTACCTCTGAAGACTACTGTGCCCACAGGGCTTTTCATAAAGCCCTGGCTTCCTCTTGTTCACACAGCAAAATACTCACAGAGGTTTGGTAAAGGCACCACAACCGGTGTAAAATAAACAACACATTGGGAATATCAAGATTATTTTAATGCACTCTAATCTGCTCATTACACTTCCTACAGACAATCATTAGGCTAGTTTAGTGATCCATCCTTATGAAAATATTAAGACAGATGTTTTAATAGTGTCTCTGATTTAAACTTCAGTGGAAAAAGAGTCGCTAAAATGAACTTTTGTGAATAATTCAAACAATGAATCGATTCATAACACAAAAATTCAATGATTTGTCTGCATCAAACACAACCATTTGGAGCATTAAAAAAAAAAAAAAAATTTCATGTAGCAAGGATGCATTTAATTGATCACATTGTTACAAAAATGTATATTTCTAATAAAGGCTCTTCTTTTGATCTTTCTATTCATCAAAGAATCCTGAAAAAATGTATCACTGTTACATTACAATACATTACGTTTTAAAATATATAAAAATAGAAAATGGTTATTTTTAATTGTAATATGATTTTACAATATTATTTGTTACAGAAGTGGTGCTTGATGGCTCTAGCTGTGAAGAGGATGATTCAGAAACAGAATCTTTGTAAAAAAAAAAATATCACCTGCATCTTCAAAGAGTTTTAGCACACTGACAGCATAAATCCTTAGGTTAAGAATATAACATTTAAAAACGAATACAATTATAATAGATCAAGAAAAAACTGCCACCAGCAAATATTATCTCAAGACCTCGCTCTGATTGTTCTATAATTCTAAGATGCATCAGAATAACACCCACACTGCTCTGATAAGATGAATTTTACTAAGAAAGAGATGAACTCAAGACGTTCTCTCAGGCAGTATGAGCCAGAAGTCAGCACAGACTCAAAAGATGATGAGTTCAGACTGATGCACTCCCTGACGATTAGAGACACTCTCAAACAAACTCAGCGAATAATAGTAAACTGACTGACAGTGGGATAAACTACAATAACAAAGCAGAGATGCACAGTCAACATCAAGTTTAATTTGAAGAGCAAAGCTGAGGTTTCAGAGCACAAATTCATGTGTTTATTTCTTTATGAAGACAAAATAAGAAAGAGCTCCACCCGTACTCTGTGACCAGTTCAACTCATCCTGACTGCAATGCAATTCCTCCTGGGAAAATGAAGTTATGGAAGAACCACAGGGAGCGGATGAGATTAGATTAGCATATTTATCTAATAATGTAAATCATTTTCTTGGTGCGGGTGTAACATTGTGAAATGAAATTTTCTCAGATGCGCATCAGTACGCTCAAAGAAATAATCATTAGCTTTGCACAAACCACATTATATTAGGGAGGCAGTTTCAGTCAATAATGTCCGAGTGATGAGTTTTACAGTCGACTAAATTCAGATGTTCTTGTGAGTGGTGAGAATATGCGTGTCTAAGTGGGCATTGAAGCATCTTCCATTACTCCTTTCTCATTTACCTAAATGCATCAGAAGCCTACATGGCTAAAAGTATCTGGACACCCCACAAATAATGGTTTGACTATTCCAAGTGCAATATATCCATAACTATAATAAGGTTACAAAATCAAGTGTAGTGCAGTCTCTCTCTCTCTCTCTCCATCTGTCTATTGCGCTTTCTGTCCCTTCAACATAAATGCTTTTAAAAGTATTTTCAAAACATTCAAGGTACATCTTGACAATCTTTGCTTTTCTAGGTAAATATAAAAGGTAAACTAAAGGTTTAGGTTCAGTAAGAATTATATATATAAAAAAAAAGAATTTTATTATGCAAGGATTCTTTAAATTGATGAAAACTGACAGAAAAGACTTACATTTTTACAAAAAATAAATAAATAAATGCTGTTCTTTTCAACTTTCTATCCACAAAAGTAACCTAAGACTGAAGACTGGTGTAATGACTGCTGAAAATGACAGGAATAAATTAGATTTTAAATACATTAAAAAAGAGAATAGTTATTTTAAATTGTAATATTTTACAATATTTTTGTTACTTTATTTACTTTATTTGTGAACTAAAAATGCAGCCTTTGTGAGCATAACAGACTTCTTTCAACAACATTTAAAAACCTTACAGACCTCAGAGATTTGAACTATAGTGTGAATTTCTTTGAATTTTAATGTACATTTTCAATTCTGAATACATTTTGCTACATCGATTCAAATTCAGTAATTGAAATGGAATTAAAAAGGCACTTAATACACTTCTGAACAACTCATAACCCTGCTTACCTGAACTCTGGTAAACACTTTTGCAATGAATTTGAAAATGCTGACTTCAAGGCCAGACCCAGTCATATAACATCTGTGCCTGAACTTGACTTCTCTGCACCAGTATAGCATTAAACCTTAAGATGTGCGGCTGGTGTGGAAGGGTTTTTGGTAAGTTAGCTATAAAAGTTGTGTTTGTCCTTGGGAAGGTCATTTCTAATCAGAGTATAAGCATCCAGGACTTTTAGTGGACATACCTTTATCACAAATGCTGACGGCTGCACACTCACATATCGCCCAACAAGAAGAAGCAGCTCTATCGACGTGCTTATCGACAGCTTTCTGGAGAACCCTTTTGATCCACAGATACAACTCTGTCCAGCACAGTCAAGGCTAGCAGCATTCTGCACCACAATCCCAGTGTTTCAAGAGGGTTATAGCAGTTGAAGTGCACAATTTTTTTCTGATGCTAAAATACTTTCTCATAACCCAACTTAATATGCAGAGACAAGTATAACAATATAAGAACACATCCATTTTAAACATCCATTACTTATTACAATTCTTCATAGTTAACTATAGTTAACTTCCTTAAAAAATAGATAAAAATACTAGGCCTTTGTGCAATTATTAGGTTCACAGGGTATATGCAGGAATCATGGAGTTAAATTGAATACCTTTTAAGACTCTTTCCATACATTTTAAGACCTCATCGCCACTCCAAGTTTCTGCGACACTTTAACTTACATTTACTATACATATACTATTACATATACTGTTTGTAAGATAGCACAACTAAACAGTCTTACTTTGTGATAACTCCTTATCAATGCAACATAATTCAGAAGGGGGGAACGAAGCACAAGAGAATTAATTGAGTGACTAACC